ACGAGTACCTAATATGTTTTCTGCGGAGAACAAATCGGAGGACAGAAAATATTCTATACCGTCGTCAATTTTAACCCTCTGACAGCGTTAATAAAATATCTCGTCTCTTTCTAACTTTCTTCCTAAGAGTCTCTCTCGAGTTAAACTGTTCGTTACTTAACGCACTGGCCGAGTCTCACTCGGGAGAAACTGCCAAAGGGTTAAGCGAAGTTTGCACAATCAGACAACGAGATGTTTTGTATAAAAATTTGATTACCGTCGAAAAATTTAGTGTAATTACAAAGTCTTTATTTCTGTCAATCAAAAAATTAGTTAACGAGCTTATTTTATGAGCAAGAATCGCAAAGAAACGTGCTGTACTCCTCAGTATTAACACAATTAACACGCTACATTTTCAATAGAATCATTTTTGCTAAATCCGTCATATTAACAAGTGAATAAATCTCTTTTGCAGGTCGGCTGGCTGAAAGTGGATACCAAGGCGATCCAGGCGATCCACGATCACGTGATAACTCACAATAACAGAGTCTCGGTGTCTCATAGTGATCACACGATGTGGAAACTTCATATAAAGAGCGTGCAAAGGGAGGACGAGGGCCTCTACATGTGTCAAATTAACACAGATCCGATGAAAAGTCAGGTAAGTTCATAACGTGATATCTTGAAAATTAATAGCGCAACGTGTGTGACATCGAATATCAATTTAAGGTGAAATATTACACGATCGATAATTATTGGAAAAAAAGGGAAAATAAGTAAATTTAAGTGCTAATTACTTTTCACCGAGAAGCTACTTGAAAAGTGCAGTTTACGATCTAATATTTGCAACAGGAAATCCGACTCTCCCTCAAGTAAACATCAATTAAAATCTGAGAAGAAATGACGCGCCTAGATTAGCAAAGGCGCAGCTGGTTATCAGACGCGTTTAGTTGATTGCTATTTCGAGTGTTTTCAGTAACTAAGCGGTCGGAATCAGAGCTTTCTGCGTGCTCAGTTTAGTCAGCAGGACGAATCATGGTAAGCCGAGAAACTCGGTGAAATAACTAATTGGAAACGGCACCACCGACACTATTTAGATCGATAAAGTTCCGGGATGCATGTCGGTTGTGGGGCACATCAATTCCAATTAGGTGACTCTCTACGGTTTCTCGATACCATCTTTCGTACAGTATCAAATTCCTTTGTCGCCAGCAGTTAAATCTGCATACTTCAATTCGTACGCTGGTATTTGATCCGCGCGAAACAATATTTACCGGAAGCCGAACCAACGGATCTAAAAAATAGTTCGAATCGCTGATAGATAAATGGGACCTGAAGCACCTGACTTGCTAGTTGTATCAAACCTTGTTGGATTATTTCTAAAGGACGCTAAATAAAATATATCGCCTGAGAACAAAAATGTCTCAACGTTTTTTCGAAACAAAGACACTAGTCTTAGGAGTCAAGACACTCTACACTGCAATACAATAGCATATAAACAGTATAAGAGGACCCCAGCTTTCTTTCTTTGGGTGTCCAGAGAACAGTTCCTAAGAGCTATTTGTACAGAAAAGACTTCTTTTCGAGACGTGTTAATAAAAGTAAATTCAATATATAAAAGAAATTTTTATTTTAATAAACACTTTGCACCACTGTTATGGCGACACGCGAAATTACTTTGGAGAACTTCAAAATGTAAAATTCAGAATTTTTTGCATTTTTGAAATAATGCAAATAAACATAAGAAATAAGAAATTACAATTTTAATTTTTTTCAAAAATTTCACTGCGAAAGTATACCGAAGTTGCTGATTAATCTTATCAAAAAATGCTCGGAGCACAAAAAAAAAAAAAAGACAATTATTTCGTTGACAATATATCCCATTTAATTTGCATAAATGTAATTTGTGCACCGGTTACTTCGCGAAGAGTAATTACAAGCAGCAACACAGATAAAGTATTATTGTTGAGTTTTGTAAGCTTCGCTAATATTTATACAACTTTGGTATGCTATTAGGGAATGACGTTAATTAAATTTTTAATTAGTCATCTACGGTGGAAGTAGGGAAAATCGTCCAACGAATGTTCTCGTTCTTCTAACTGTTCCTAATGTTTACGAACGCGTAACGATACAAAACCCGCAACACTGTTAACTGAACAATGGAAATTCGCGCGTATTACCCATGATGTTACAATCTCTGCAAGTATGGAAGGTATTTCTCGAGGAGCTGTAGAAGCATGGCATACCAGGAAACTTAACAAGCCGTCTTCGCTAGTTCAGGAATGTCAGCTCTCGTTCATGAACATCTTGGAAATAACGCTTAGGTTTTAACCATTTTCCCCGTAAGAAAGCATTCACTCCATTAGATGCTGCCTACGAGACATCGTTCAAGTGTCGATTAACGATTTTAACGAAATTTGCATGCGACATAGTATTCGAAGAAATATTCGACACGAATTTAAGGAAAAAAATTCCTTCAATATGAATTAAAGTAAATAGCTATCAGGAAAATGTACTTGTTTAAATAAAATATGAAAAATGTGCAATTTTACACAGATTTTTGTAAGAAATTTCGGTTCCATTCGTGTGTAAATTTGCAAAGAAATAAAAGTGAAAAATGAAAATTTTCTACTTCGATCTTTTCACGTTTTACATTCGCTAGATTGGCACGATTGCTAGTAAAAGATTGACATTTAAGTGATGTCCCTCTTGTTAGTCGCATAGGAAGTGTGAATTTTTCACGGTAGTTCTCGACGGATTATTTGACGAGGTGAAAAATTCCTCGAATCCCGCGGATTTATCTCTAAGAAAGTTAAATTCCCTTATCGCAGGACCATGACACACGAACCTGGTGATCTAAATGTGAACGTAAAATTTGTATTTTTACCTATTCCCCCGGCTTTCTCTCTTTCAGAAGCGTGGAAGGCAAATAACCTTGCATAAAATTGACGAGCAGCGAGACGACCCATTTCCTTTCCACGCTAAAAATTTCCACGCACTCGTGAACACGGAATTCACGGTGGAATAAAATTTCGCTCTTGGAAAAAAAGGCCACAATGCAATCTCGATTCACATAAAACCAGGAGAAAAAAAGGCATTCCTCCAATCAATCCCTGACGTCTGACGTAAAATAAATTGGCAAGCAAACGAGTGTATCATTTTGCTTAATTTTTTTTTTTTTGCAATAACTTCCTCGAAATAAAAAGTAAATTATTAATAAACAGTATGTTCTGTTTATCAAGAATAGAACTGTTTCTTCTATCGGTGTTTTGTTAAGTGTTCCATTTCTATTAAGTGAACTATAATTTCTCATTTTTAGGACGAAACCATTCGAAAATTCTTCCAAAATTTCTACCTCGCGAGACATTTACTATTACAAAGATTCTTCAGCTTGGTTTAAAAACAGGAAAGAAAAACAGAACATTTGTGCAACATAAGCTGTGTCTCCTCCTCCTAAAACGAGTCTTTATTTATGGGACAGTGTTTGTACACTTCCATTGCAATAGGTGTAAGGAAGATTCAGTTTTCCTGAGGGTGCGAAGAAGTGAATAGAAGTAGGACGCTTAACGAGCTATTTTCTTTAATGCACAAACGTCACCTTTTATTCCTTCGACTTTCCAACAGGCAGCCGTTCTTTCTGGTGTCGAGACACGGTTGCACCAACAGACAGGACAGACACACTACTCTGCAAAAGTATACGACCCTCTTTTTTCCGCCCTTCGAGCCGTCTCGCCTTGGCAAAGTGTGATATGGCGCAAGATAGAGTCGAGTCTCTCCTTTGAGATCTAATTTTCCGACATTTCAGATTGAATCCAGGCTTCCATGTCTGTCCAGGAATCTCCTCTTCCCACGAAGAAACAGTAATCTTAAATAGTGCAAGAGACGTTACGGAGGTTGCCAACTTAGAGGCTACCTCCACCCGGTTACCCCCGTCCCCTTACAAGGTCTCTAAGTAATGAACGCAAGAAACAGCGCCGAAAATGCCTTAGTCAATCGGTGGGAAACCCTTCTCTCGCTTGAATACAGCTTTATTCTGTCTCTTTCGTTCCGGCGTTGTCAAGCAAACCCCAAATTCGTCCCTTCCTCACACACACGACCATACTTTTCACTCAATCATTCGTTCTCTCGCACACTCACACTCCCTCTCTCTCTCTGCGTTTCACTCACTCATTCACTTGTTCTCTCACTCGTTTATTCTCTCACGCTCTCTCTCTCTCACTCACTCTCCCTCCACTCTCTTTTTCACTCACTCTCCCTCCACTCTCTTTTTCACTCACTCACTCTCCCCATCTCTCTGTTTTTCACTCACTCACTCATTCACTTGTTCTCTCACTCGTTTATTCTCTCACGCTCTCTCTCTCTCACTCACTCTCTTTTTCACTCACTCACTCTCCCCATCTCTCTGTTTTTCACTCACTTTCTCACAGGCTCACTCATTCAGTCTCCCTCTCTCTCTCTCTCTCTCTCTGTTTTTCACTCACTCACTCACTCTCTCCCTCTCTCTCTCTCTCTCTGTTTTTCACTCACTCACTCTCCCCCCCTCTCTCTCTCTCTCTCTCTCTCTCTCTCTCTCTCTCTCTCTCTCTCTCTCTCTCTCTCTCTCTGTTTTTCACTCACTCACTCTCTCCCTCTCTCTCTCTCTCTCTGTTTTTCACTCACTTACTCAGTGTCTCACGCACTCATTCTCCCTCTCTCTCACTCACTCACGCATTAATCACTCATTCCCTTACTCACTCTCTCTTCTCCCTCTTTCTCCAAGTCACAGACTCACTCTTTCTCCCTCTCTCTCACTCACTCACGCATTAATCACTCATTCCCTTACTCACTCTCTCTTCTCCAAGTCACAGACTCACTCGCTCCCTCATTAACTTTCTTTCTCCCTCTTCGCTCCTTTCCTTCGTTGCGTGGTAAAACTCGACGCCGTCATTCCACAGGGGAGAGTTCTATGAGCAGTTTCGTTTCGGCTAACCGTATTTCCCTGCTCGTTTCCGTGCAACTCCAACGTGGCGGCTCCTTTCGAGCACGCTTGTCGTGCCGACCGCGCGACTAACAAAATGCGCCTCGGGATGAAATATGTTTACAAGAGAAACTGGTGAAAGGAAATCTCATCCGGTTGCTTTGCGTAATACGTTTAACTGCGGGGGACAGTCCCTTTAATTATTAATGTTCAACGTAGTTTCGTCAGGATAAATGATATCAAGGAATCGAGAGAACTTTAAACTCAAGTGTCAGATTTCTGCAGATATCCACGGACAACTACGAACTTTTAAATGTATTTAATATTCGTTGATAAAGACGATAGGCTTCTTCCCTTTCACCGTCTAACTTCACATTCTTTTATCATGTTAATCAATACCAAAGAAGCTAATTGAACGTCTTCCTTCTCTCATTGTATAAATATTATTCAAATTAGAATTACAGCCAAGTATTATCAATTTTACAGAATTTTTTAAATAATTCGTTGCTTTATTCATTTGAATAAAATTACGATGCAAGATAATTCAAAATTACACAAAGCAAAGGAATATTTTATTACACAACAATGCTATACACCCTTTATTTAATCAAACGAAATTCAAGTTAACTACCTTTACGCATAAATCATAGGGATACTTCTAAAGTAGCGTACGATAATAATTTTCCTTAATAAAGCAAATATAAAATAATTTTACGAGGAAATGTTTCAGGAAAATTTGAAGAAAAATGGCTGCGTAAAAAAAGAACTCTCGAAGGGTGCAAAGAAGTATAGAGAAATAATAAGAAATCTCCGAATAGTCTGGTTGCCCACTAATTGTATTTCCTTCTAGTTTCCGTGCCGTCTCGACGGATGTGATTCTGTTTCAACGTCGGTTTTTTATAATTCACCTTGCACGAATAGTGGAAACATACTCTGTCACGAACTCTGTATAATTAGTGTCAAATTATCGAGCGATATTTTCCAAACAAGACTGGATTAAACAGCTGGATAATACGCAAAGGATAATTAAGGCTCGCGCATATACACGTTAAATACGGACTTCAAATTTTGTAAAGATCCACTGCAAGAAGTTTCGCAGAACATTGCATTTTCTGCTGTCGTTAAAAACGCTCAATTTAATGTACCTTTAACGTTCGTTCCTTTACAGCTTTTAACGAGGTCGTTGCTCGTAAATGAATTAGTTTAATTAATTCTGTGTATCCTAATTTTAGTGGGAAAAACATTTAACGAAATCATCGCACAGTGTGCGAACTACAATTTATTTACGAATCCTTGAAATTTGAGGACGAATGTGCGATTTGTTAGAGAATATAATGTTTCAATTATTATTTTTATGTAAATTTAGAGGACAGTTTTTTGAGATGAGAGATCTCGTCTCCTTAAAGGTGTTTTAAAACTTTTCACTAAATCCAGATTAAAGTATTTCCCAGTACGTCTATCAAAATTATCCCTACGACGGTCGTCATTTTTCTTTCGAGTTTGATAAGATAAACGCACCCTTTAGGATCGGATATTGACGCGATCGTATAGTAGACTGCTTCCTGTTTTAATAAAACCAACGAGTAAAGAAATAACAGAAATATAATAGGTGATGTCGAATTATTTATGATAATTATTAATCGGATTAATTTGCCAAATTAATTCTAATTGATTTTCGAATAAGTCGAATTCCACAGTGGAAGGTCCGAATTTTAAATTGAAGCCAGGTTAAGAGATTTCGATATCCAAACTAATTTCAGTGCATTTCGATATCCAAAATAATTTAAGCTCAGTGCATTCCGTAGAATTTCAAATCACCCAAAAATATCGAATCACAAATAATACACGAAACTAGCATATCTTCTCTAAATAGCTCCGAGCACAGTTACTCGGATCGAAACTTTCCCAAGCCTACTCCCAAACAGCTCGCCTCTTCGCAATGAATTTTATTCGACAATAACCACCGCGAGTACTCTTTAAATTTTGATACCGCGACGTGCGTAAAATAAAGCGGACGTTGCATTTTCCAAAGTGGATCTGCAATTCTTGCCAGGAATTAATAGGTTCGACCAGCCGCGGTACTATCATCAAGACGAACGATCCTTTGAAAGCCGATTACAAGGCGCAGCCGTTCCCCGACTTACAGCCCTAAACAAATCGATCGATCTCAGACCGGTGTTTCGATTAACGTGCATATTTATCAACATCCCCGATAGAGTTATTTCCAAGTAGGCAATAATTAATTTATGGAACGAGGAGAAGTTTCATAATTCACTCGTGACACCAGGCAAGTTTACCTCCTTGGGCACGTGTCTGCCTGTCACTGCGAACTGTCATGCAACAGGGACGAGGGATAAGAGAGATGCCACTGTCGAGAAAGACAGAGAAAGAGGGAGAGATTGTGCGAGAGAGATGCGGTAGTGTTCGCTTCGCCTCCGGAGCGAACGTATTCGTTGAGACTGTTTTAAACAGTTCGGTGACTTGCGAGACAACTCGGTTATAACGATTGAAGTTTCGTCGTAGCGTAGATTACACGCTCGTAATTACGTGCACACCTCGCGCACGAGCGGGTGCCTCCACATTCTGCCGACTGTTGCCTGGCTCCTTTAAACCGCAAGTGGTGTGGAAAGATATTAGAGTAGGGCCAAGTCCCTTTCCCGACTCTACTGACGTTTCATGGTTTGACGCACGACCCACATGGAGAAGTCCAAACGCAGACCCGAACTTCACGATCTCCACGCGAAATTGTGACAGTAGGTATATACGCTAAATAGGGTAGTAGCCCTCTTATTCGCTGGTAAGCGATGCTCCTGACGTCCTCGTAAGATCTGCTATGATTGTTTGCTTACACCAGCGAGACGCGATTACTCTGGATTGTTCGAAGCGGTGCATGGAAATTGTGGATATTGTTTGGGTGCTGCTTATTGCTGAGTTTTTGAAGCTGAGGATTTAGGTGGACAGGGGTGAGTGTCCCTAAGGAAAATTGTGACAGAGGGAGAGAGAGAGTGTTCTGTAAGAGGAGCCGGTGAATAAAAGGTGGTCGCCGGGGTCTCCCATCAGCAGAATCGAAAACACACCGCAAATGCGTAAAGAATGAGCTGCTTTTGGTGATTCAACCCTCTTTCTCTTCTCATTCGTTCTTTCTCTCTTCTCTCTCCTCTCGTTCTTTCTTTCTCTCTTCTCTCGTTCTTTCTTTCTCTCTTTTTCTCTCCTCCTTCTCTCACTCTCTCGTCAGGAAAAAACGAGACTCGCTTCGTTCTACCTTCTCTCTTTCATTGCTCTTTCTCTCTCTCGCCTCAGGAAAAAGTGAGACTCGCTTCGTTCTATTTTCTCTCTCGTCTCGAGAAAAAAAAGAGACTCGCTCCATTCCACCTTGCATGGGAGCATATCCCACCCCGAGCCTGTTTGCGGCAAGCGCTTTAACCAGCGATCGGGGGGCACCGAGTCGAGTGAAAAATTCGAGCGCGGACTGTTAGGCGACGCGACATCGTTCGACAACAACCGCGTTGACTGTTACTTACTCCATCGCGCACGGTGGCGTGTCGTTAATTAACGAAAAGCCGCGGTGCTCATTGGCAGCGGCACCAGTGGGGCCTCTGCCCGCCTGCTTCCACAGCAGCCAGCCCCCGTGATATGTTGCTCCTGCTTGCCCGTGCAAGCGCGGGGCAAGGGTGAAGGGGAGAGGCCGAAATACAGCCAGGATTTAGAGGCTCTTACGTTATTCAGTCCTGCTCGCGGAATGGAGTAATGTGTACGGATATAATTTAGAGATTCGGTAAGAAAGGAAATTTACTTGATGCATTGTGCAGCCGTTAAGCGTATCATTAACATTAAATTCCGGCTCGGGTGCGTGTGCACGAAAATATATCTTGTGCGGGACGAGTTTTGGCACGCCCGCTAAAATACGGTTCGGGGGAGAGATGTAAGGTGGAGGCAGCACCCCTCTGCAATTGTACAGCTCAGTTTCTCCATCCGGGGAAACGCGAGCGGCCTCCCCGTAACTTTACATACTCTCAGGTTTTTCGAGATCGTTAACGGTTAGGTTACACCGCGTTCGGATTCATTTATTCGAATGGAAAGTTGCAACTTCGTTAGAGTAACCAGTTCCTGTCTACCTGTATCGTGTGAATTTTCCTCGATTCTGGGTTTCGCGAGATTTGGTTTTGTCTAATCAAGTGTATATCACCGTCGAACGAGAGTGTGAGCTTAGTTTGGGTTAGTTTAAGTAGTTCTGTTTTGTAGCGATTTCTAACGTTACTTCGCGGAGTGAATTCATATTTTCAAACTTCAGTTTTTCTGTCAACTTGAGATGGTTAGACAGATTTAACGAACGAGCGTGCATATAAAATTCGCGTCAATTCTATTGGTTCGATATCGAATCTGTGGAATAGGTCGGTGTGAATAATTATGAGGGACAGCTGTCTTGAAAAATTAAAGCCTCTTCCTGTCGTAATATTCACGTGTATGTGTACACATACGCGAATCAAATTGGAAATTTTGCTGGAAACTAATGAAAAGTAATTTTTCCTTTCTTTCAGACAGGTATGTTGTCGATCACCGTGCCACCAGATTTTATTCCCGAAGATACTTCGAGCGATGTCATGATTCACGAAGGAAAGCAGGTAAATTAATACGGCATTGTTTAACATATATTACAGTCTACGTAAATTTTTCTAAATACTTCTCGTTATAATCTCGTTATAAATATTTCTCAATCCGATTCAATTCGAATTCCACAATACGAGAAGAAGGATCTTACGAATATTGCTAAGACGTCTCAATAACCTGTTGCATGTGTACATATCACATGCATCGTGTATTTCTAAAACATACATTTGGCGTAATGTGTAAATATTTCCCTTTTCCCGGTTTTCTTATCAAAGCTGATGCTGCGATGCAAGAAGTACTGCATTTTCCAGAGAATTGTCAGCGAAATGTCTTTAAAGATACGTCGTGCATACTCTCTCACTTGTAAAGTAGAAGCCGGCGAATGTAGTTATTTGCCCTTTAAACTTTCATTCTCATTTATCACAATCCGGACTTCAAGTCAGAAAATTAAGAAATTTTTCTAATATTTGGTCATACTTTTTGTAGCAATAGACTAGCCTAATCCACGGTTAAAATTTCACCGTTATAAACAAACGTAATTTTTTAAAAATTTTGAAGTGTAATTTTTTTCCTAACTTTAATCTCTCCTCAGATATTCCACTGTTCTCGTTTATATATTGCGCTCTGTACACAACAAACTAGAATTACACGCAGAAACCATAAGTACCATGCAAGATTGAACGATTTCGTAGCCCTGATCGTCGAAGAAAATTTCGAGACAGACACTAGGCTACGAAGATTAAGTCACGTGGCGAAATTCTGTAGTCATAGTTTGAATAAATTGTGCTTATATCGCGTTAGTATTCAATTTCTGGCGAAATTCAGTAATTGAAAGTAGTTTGCCTACTAAATTTCGCGCAAGCACAATTAAAAAGCCGCGCTGAAATGACGACGTAACTCACCGTAATGTAGGAACGCTTCAGAACTGTAAATTCATGTAACAGGGGCAAAAGGGAATTTGCATTAACTTTCGTCTACATTGTCGGAAAATCAGTTGCTTAATTAGCAGAGAAGGAATATCAGTAGGATTTACTTTACGGCCGTTTCACTTATACATTGTACGACAGACTTTTCTAATTAGGAAATGTTCAAAAATAATAAGAATAAATTGACGAAATGGTGAAATTGAAATAGTTATTGTCGTATTTGTGCAACTGGTGTGTTAATTTTATCATTGCGCATATAAAAAATAATATTTCCATTTAGAAAGATCGATTTTGGTGTGCTTCGTTCGTTAATAATTATTGCAATGTGTCTTCTAAGGAATGTGCACTCGTGTTCGTGAGTATTAAGACACTGACTGAATGTGAAGCATACTGAAATCTATCAAAATTTACTAAACTCTACAGGCGTCTACTGAAATCGTCTAAAATCTGCCTACAGAATATGAAGCAAGCCTCATTGTCGTTTCAAGTTCAATACAAAATCATTTAACACACAAAAGTCACTAAAAAATTACTAAAATTCTAAAGAAAAATACTCATAGTGCAACAAACGCAAAAATTGTTGCAGACGTGTAATACTAACTTCGTCCGGGAAATGTAATTTCTAAACGAAAATATTCAGTCTGGACGAGTGCAAAAATTGTTACCAACAAATAATACTAACTTCGTCGAAGAAATGTAATTTAAGTCGCACAATACTTTCCACAGAAGCACGATACTCACGGAAATATCTTACAATCTGACAAAATTCGGTAACAATTAAAACAGAGCCCGATCAAACAAGCCAACGTACAAGGTAAAAAATTTAAAGAACCAATCTGAATCGAGAACAGCACACTTCGAGGCGAAAAATAACTGAGAATTTGATCAAGCGAAGAAACAAAGAAACATCACGTCTACCAGAATAGTATTGATCTGATATACGATTGCAATGCCGTATCGCAGCGTGGCCAGAGTTAGGCTTATCAAAAATGCAAACTTCAATTCCGATACCCGCGAATTCGCCGTTCGAGCAGCCACTCTCTCGTCTCGACGTACATTGAAATAAACGAACGATACTTTTTCATCCGGACGATAAATATTGTTATTAATGGCACGTAGCCGAGCACGCTTTCCACGTCCCCTGTTCCGTGTTTATAAAAATCTCGTTGCGTGTCCGAGATTCCCTCTATTCTCCTCCCGCGTCACGATACGTTTCCTACTTTATCTGAATTTCAATGCGACCCGGACTAAAACTTTTCGAACTCGTTTCCTGCGTCACACGAGGACATTTAGGATACCGGCCTACCTCGGTGTCCTTAATTTAAAATTGATAAGGTCGGCGATCGCGCGCGGCGTGGATCCTAACGCGGAACGACAAAATCGAGGAAACGATCGTTTCGGAACTGGCTTGCTTTCTTCGAACGAGAAAAAGATTAAAAAAAGAAAAGAAAAGAAGGAACTGTCTGTACGTCGAACGAATGTATTTTAACGTGGACAAGAAGCTGATCGCGGAAATGAACGACATTCTAAGTTGATCGAATTTTGCAGGTAGATACGCAATGTGATTCCGGAATCAATCGAATTTCACGTGGTTTTCCAAACCGTGCAGCACGGTAGACACGCTTTTGTTCTGGAATAAAACGCGCGGCCAAAAGGGCAAGCATTTACTGTTGTTCAATGGTAAATTGATCACGATCTGATCACGGAGACCCGATATTCTTTAAGCCAATAGGGGGGAACTTTATCTCGTTTGGCGGAACGGCGAAATGAAATTACAGGAGAACCTCGATTATTCGAACTCTGCCTCTCTTATTAAAGCTTCCTGCACTTGTTTTGAGTTCGATTCCGTACAGTGCTGCTGTAATTAATTCACACAGAAGTTGATTGAATTTATTTTAGTGTTCCTTTAACCCTTTAACGCTACAATTTGAGAAATTTAGAAAATGATCGTTTTTACTTTCTTTTTAATGGTTTTCTAGGCTATGAAAATAGATTTACCAGGATTCGTGATGTTGTCATTTGTTTTTGCTGTAATAGAAAGGATAACGCAATATGGAAAATGATAGAAAATAGTTAACCTTAAAATTTGCTCGTACTATACTGTTAGAGCCTTTTGGTTTACTTCTACCTTAATTTAACACTTAATTTTATACTTTACGCACTTCCACCTTAATTTTATCTTTTACACTTTTCCATCTTGATTTAATAAACCGAGTTTCAAAACAGTACGGTCGAAATAACAAATCGTAGTCAGTCCGCCATGTTGCGCGTTAAAATCTGCCGTAGCGAAGAGGTTAAACGTAATAGCACTTATGGAACGATTAGTTGGTATGTGAGACACAGCAGGAGTCCAAAGATTTGTTTATATCAGCAAACGAATGCTCATTCGTCCCGCACTTCGAAGAATTCTTCCCACACTCAGCATTTGTTTACGCTTGTTTGGACTTGACTTTTGTCGAAGTGGGGGGACTAACAAAATGGACGACTAGTGTATATAAATTGTGGAAAATTTTATTTCTGGACAACGCATATGACTGCCATACAAATTAGAAAAAATTCTATCTACTTAAATTTTCTCGTAAAATATTTATCAATTATGGCATGAATTTCTGTATATATTATAAATTACGCACCTAACCACAAAATACGAACAAATCAGAATTCTAATTTTTCTAGAATCGTATTTTACTAAAGAAATCTGTCAAGAATCTCTCATTCGAGTTTATAGATTTAGGATCAGGAGAATTAGGTTCATTCTTTATTTTATTTCAAAGTGTATCGAACACCAAACGTGACGAGAAGGATTCTAAAACTCGAACGATCGACTATTTCACTACCAACAATACGACGCATTCCTAACCTTCTTGAATTGCGGCTCGACTGTATTTTCAAGCGTTCCCATTGCTTCGTTCGATTTTAGAACGTGAATGTATTCATAAGTAGAGTGTTAAACAGTACATTTGTCACTCACCGTATACCAGGGGACAGTCGAAGTCCTCAGGTCGTTCATCCGCGTGTCTCTCGAGTCCTTTCCGCCGTTGAGTTTTCTTACTGCACACACTTCAGCACTCTTAACACGTAAAACCGCGCGACGCGAACTTCACTCGTGCAGGCACGAGCTACGACTGTTCTCGAGTTTCTTGCAGATCCCTTAGTTCAATGTCAACTAATTTCTAGAATTCGAGAGCGACACGGTCGTCACGCGACGATACGAAGAAGTGATTTACAGACGGGAATGTATACAAAACATTGTTTGCCGGAACGAGCTCGCCGTTGAAAGTCGATACAGGTTAGAAATACTCGTGATAGCAGCCTCGAGAATATTTTATATTAGAATTTTATTATTCTTCGATTGTTGGTTATGTTTAACATTCATTTAGTATCATTTATATTAGTACTTGTTAGGGGGTGTTAATCGAATGCACTTGTTAACCCGGTAAGACGTATTTAACGCAACACTAAATACAATAGTATAAAAGAAAAAGATAGAGATCAAATTAACAAACTTCACATTATAAAACCACATGTCGAGAGAACAGAAAAAGCGCATCGCGTCTTCTTCTTACAGCGCGAACAGTGCCGCCAGTGGCCATGGACAGAACAACTCTTCGGTATTTATATGCGTTTCAAAAGTCATCCATCTTTCTATATTTTCTGTTTTGTGCGTAGTAGGTATTTTAATTTTGTTTATTAAGAATATTTTCATATAATATTCGAATTTTGTTATTTTTCAGGTGTTAGTTATGCTTAAAATTCATTTGGTATCATTTATATTAGTACTTATAGGCGTTTAAAAAATCATTCATTTTTTAAAATTTTCTGCTACATGCGTGTATAAGTGCAGTGCGTGTCCGTGAACCCATGTGCGACGTATTATGTAATTTCCTCTGTTTAATAAATTATCCTTACAATAGTGGGTGCTTTAATTTTATTTATTTAATTTATGGAGTGATAGTTCTATAGTGTTTTGTGTAATGATTTTTAAATGTAACAAGATGGAATATTTATACGTAAGTTAAGTAACTTTAACCTATTACTCTATTTATGTAAAGACAGTATGTACATAGATGTTCATGAAAATGGAACAT